GGAACATCTCTGGAGTTATTTGACGGCACTCTGTTATAATCCGTTGACGTAGTTCATCCAAAGACGGATATCGCATATCTAGATTCCGACGAACTGGAGCTGCGTAATAGTCCAATTAAATGGTCCCCCAAGATTCCTGCACAAACATTCAACTTCTGCGGATGTTGAGTATGACCTTGCCGGTATAAATGAGGATTTGTATCACTCCAAAACCTGCAGTTATGCCGATGGACCTTTCCATTAGGTAAAAAGTTGACTCGTCCGAAAAGCCAATATTGTACAACAAATTTTGATTTTGAATAAGACGGTCACTCATGATTTCGCAGAATTCCTATCTTTTATCGAAATCGTCTTCATTTAATTCATATACTAGCCGAATTTTGTAGGGATGAAACTTGTTTTTGTGAAAAATTCTAAACACGTTAGTGCTGCTCACGCCGGAAGTTGCAGATATTTGCCGTATTGACTGCGTATTTGGCATAAGCTGGATATGTCACAATACCGCCTCAGCAGCTCCTTCGTCATGCACAAGTCCTCTGGAAGTCTTTTTTTTTAATTTAAAACTGAACCCGTTTCAACAAATTTTGATATTAATTCTCCGATGTATTTATGGCCAACATTGCGATCGGGGTGATTTTCGTTGAACATCCTTGCAGCTCTTCGAGCACATTTTTGATTTTCGTAATAGCTGCATACCAACTCAACACGTTCTCGTAATGTGTACACCATATTTAAACAATTAGGCTAGGTAAGAATAGTAACTTAACTGATTTACAATGCATCGAACGTTCAAACATTGGCGTTTTTAGGTAAAAAGTTTATTTATCAACAATAAGCAAAAAACGATTGACGACAAGTAAGTTATTTGAAATGGTTTAGTTCTTCAAAGAAAAACAGTAAAAAATTTATTAGAATGTAATTGATAGGCATTAGTTTTTTGTAAATCTAACCAAGTTTCTTCCATTTTTAGATTTTCATCGATGATATTTGTTTAGTTCCGAAATTTATCAAGCAGACATTAGAGATTCAACTCACCAAAGCCGTTTTGACCAAATTTTGCAGGATTGATACGGTAATAACAATAAAAATTATTTTTTTCTTTACAACCAATCGGTAAATAACAAAACTACACAGTTGTATTGCAAATTAAAAGAGCTTTAAAATGATATGCGCCAAAAAATGTCCCCCACTTTATGTGTGTCGCGTTTTTTTCCAAATTCTTCCAGTTTTCGAAAAATTTAAGGTGGGAAGTTTTAAAAGCATATTGCATGGTTTTTCTAAAATATCTCAAAAATAAACAGATCGATTTTAAAAAATAAAACATTGATGTATAGGGATTTTAAAGACCATTAAAATAATGTATTGGTCGATACCCCTTCCCTTTTCAAATTCTTAAGGGGGTAGCTCCTGGGCGCAAGGGGTAGGTGTGAGAAACCAAATTTTGCCATGAAAAGTTGTCCCCCTCGATATAAAACTTTACGGATCTCGGCGTTTTTTTTTTAATTTTCGAGAAATTTAGGGTGGTTCGTTTTAAATGGAACACACTATATATATATATATATATATATATATATATATATATATATATATATATATAAATATATATATAAATATATATACATACATTGACACTCTGGTGTACTGCAAAGCAATATCTTATTAAACCAATCAAAATACACTGAGAGAAAAAATGTTGTAGAATCATTCAAAACGATAATAATTCAAAGGGATTCAAATATGTTTTGGCGTCATTGGTGTGTCCCATTAAATTAATAGGTGTATAAAAATTGTATAATAAATATCTTTTTGAAACAATGTTGAGAAAGGCAATGAAATAAATATATTTCTTTTTGTACATATATTTTAAGGAGGGTACAATTTAAAAGTGTTTAAAAACATTGTAAAACTGTTGGTAAATGAATATAAAACTACAATTTTTTCTATTTGAATGAAATTTACCCGATTATTTAAATTAATATAATTTCATATGCTTCTCATGACATGATATTTCTCTGAGTGTACTACAAAACAAATCTATAAAAAACATTTATAACGTCCCGTTAAGATATTGTACAAAAGATTTATATAAAAGTTATAATATCCTCTCCATTGATTATATATACAATTACCAAATATCTTTGTATGTCTACCAAATATTGAATAAACTACGCCACTTAAATATAACCTTTGCATATAGATCCGATGTTCATAACCATCATACAAGGCACCGGACAGATGTTGAATCTATTAGGTATTCCTCCTCACACGGTAAAAATTCTATATATCACAGAGGAGTATCAGTATATAACAGTGTGCCAGAGAATACTAAAAAACAAAACTTCAAAAACTTTAAGAGACTGTTAAAGGTCCACCTGATAAAATGTATAATTTCTGTGATAAATCTTTGTCCACCTGACCAATGTATAAAATGTAAAATGTCTGTGATAAAATTCTTGTTAACTATTTTGTACTAAATATGTAAATAATATTTTGTAGATCAACTTAAGTACTTAAGTTAAAAATATTTGAGACTTACAAGTGATAAGTGTAAACATGTGCAATGTTAAATATTAATGTAAATATTTAGAGGATAAGCCTGTAATGAAAGGTAAATTTCGAAAGGCTTTTTAATAAATTCTATTCTATTCTATAATATGAAAGTTTGGCGAAACACGTCAATTTACATATAAAGGGGGACAACTGTTGAGGTATTTGTTTTTGTATTACATTTAACCCCCTGACCTCCAGAGTATCTACCCCTAAAATTTTAAATGGGAACTCCTATTTATTTCACCATTTTTGAAATCCTTATGTAATTCTAGATAAGTTACATTTTTTTTTGCCAAAATTGAAGTGGTTATAACCTCACAAATGTATGGAAAGTATTTAGTCTATAAATTAAAATACTGCTAGTTTTAATGGGGTACCGCCGTAAAAGTTATAATAAAGATACAATTACTTTATTAATTGTTCAAAATGGTTTCCATTGTTTCGTAAGCACAAGTACAGCCGATATTAAACTGTTTGCGGACGTTTTAAAGTGTCTCTGGTAAAATAGCCTTACATTCTCGCACAATCCTTTGTTGGAGTTGTTCACTTAAGTCCGGTTGGATTTTGAATACAATGGATTTCAAATGACCCCATAAAAATAAATCGAGCGATGTCAGATCTGGTGACCTAGGTGACCATTCAATAGGTCCCCTCCTACCAATCCATTGCTCTCTTACTGAGGAGGTGCTCCGTCCTGCTGAAAGAGAAGCAAATGTTCATCAAAAATAATATTTCCATAGACGTCTCTTTGATTTTACACCTCATGAATTATACGAGGCTCAATTCTTCTGTATAACATTTCCGCATACATTTCACCATTTAAATTTCCATCTATGAACAAAGGACCAATGATAGTATCGCCTAATATGCCCGCCCAAACATTTATTTTTAGAGGATATTGTGTATGTCTAATAATGTGAGGGTTAAAGTCGCTCCAATAACGGCAGTTTTGTTTGTTCACCTTGCCATTTAAGTAGAAGATGCACTCATCACTGAAACAGATATTTTATATAAACTGGGGCTGAGCAATAATCCTGTTAGTCATAATTTCGCAAAACTCAATACGTCTGTCCGGGTCATCTCCTAATTCTTTAGTAATTTGTAGCTTGTATGGGTGAAATTTGTGAAGCTTCAATACTTTTCAGACTGATTCACGCGACAGTCCAGTTTGTTCTGCAGCTTGACGAAGCGACATAGTGGGAGCCATAGCAATTTGGCCAAGAACTTCAATCTGAGCGATCTCATTGACCAATCATTGCTTAATCCTCTTCTTATTGCAAAAATATCCCGTTTCTTCAAATTATCTACTAAATCTCGGATGTACTTGTGTCTAACATTTCTTTCTGGATGTCGATCATTAAATATGACCACCGTTCTTGCGAAGCAACGGTTTTCCGCTCCATAAATAAAAATTATTTTAACGCGTTCTGCGATAGTGTAAATCATTTTAAGAAAAGGATACAAAAACACCCAACTACTATACTGCCCTACTTTGGAGAAAGGCAGTAACTGCTAAACAAGAAATTTGTGGAAAATTAGCATAAACTACATTTTTATAAAAAGCAGTAGGTATTTAATTGATTTTTTTAACTTATGAGATATTTGACTGCATTTCTGTGTTGAATTCGGTTACAAAATGTCCATAGCTTTACCATAGCACAAGAAAACACATTTTGCATTTTTTTGCAGTTACTGCCTTTCTCCATAGTAGGGCAGTATAGCTTATATATACTAATCGATTCGGCAAATCAAATTAATAAATTTACACCGGGCGTACGAAAATACGAACTGCACTTATCACTTCTAAATTATATCAGATAAAACTAAATATTAAAATGAATGGCTGTGATGGCACAGTAAACGCTACCGTTTGAAAACTTATTATTTTAATTTATGGATTAAAATTTAATACATTTCATACATTGTTGAGGTAATCCACTTCAATTTTGGTAAAAATAAATTAAAAAGAAATGTAACTTATCTAGAATTACATAAGGATTTAAAAAATGGCAAAATAAATAGGGGTTGCTATTTAAAATTTTAGGGGTAGGTGCTCTGGAGGTCATGGAGTTAAATGTAATACAACAACAAATACCTCAACAGTTGTCCCCCTAGATATGTAAATTGACGTGTTTCTCCAAAGTGCCATCAGTTAAAGAAATATTAGGTGATGTTCGTTTTAAAAAAGTGTTTAAATTTTTTCGCCATACTGTAGCTTCTTTGGAATGATTTTAGTATTTCACGAAAAAATTAAATAATACTGCATCCTTTAGATGTGTATATTTAAAAAAAAAAATGGCACCTGTGGGATCAAATAAATATTCTCATACAAACTATACCACCAACTCTCATTGTTTAATGTTTTATGTTTACCAAAAAGTTATGAAACATAAATAAAAAATCAAATAAAATACTAAAGAAAAATATTTTGTTCAATTAGTAAAACTTACCTTTCAGGGTCATTTAATGCCATTTGTATTGCCTGATCTCCTAATTTATTAAAATCTAGAGCATATAATCCTGTAAAAATTTGTTTTACATCATTAATGTGTTTCTCATCAATTAAAAATTTTTCCAGGCATCCTGGTTTGGCAAGTGCCTGTTGAATTTTTTTCGTGCCTGCTAAATGATAATGAATCGATGGACATTTTATTGCCAAAGACCTAAAAAATAAAGTTTATGTTCGGTACCTTAAAAATAACTATATTTATAAAAAAACCCTGCTCATGAAATAAAGGCAATATAATTAGAACTTTTTTTAGAGGTAAATAACTGCAACATAAATAAAACACATACAAATTATTATAATAGTAAATAGTAGGTAGTTATCGTAGTAACGCATAGGGACACCGGTGTTGGCTCGAATTAAGCTCAATCCTATTTATTTTTAACGAGGAGATGGGGCTGTAGTCGATATTCACCCACTTTTCCATATATCGGCAATTACGCGGTAAATGTTGTCTTCAAAGTGGTCCATCCTTTTATAATTTTTTTGTTTAATAATATTTTTTATCGCCTAATATATTGTTTTAGCCATAAAATGAATATTATGAATAATGAATATTATAAATAGATCTAGTACTCCAAATATTCCTGAGGAGCTGCAAGATCCTGATGCCGTGAATAACTTTTTTATACACTCTATTCCTTCAACTGATTCTATAAATAAACAAGAACTGATGACATTTTATAAAAATAATACTCTGAAAGATTTTCCTTCCCGGTTTAAGTTTAAAACAGTTACAGATGAGGATGTAAATAAGATTATTGGTGGCATTCGGACAAAAGCTACAGGAATAGATGGGATAAATATCACTTTTATAAAGATGTGTTGCCCCTATATAACTCCTGTTATAACCCACATAATAAATAAATGTATAGAGCTAAGCATAGTACCTAACTGTTGGAAGCAGGGCCTAATAAAACCTATTCCAAAAAATCAAGATCCTTTAGAATACAAAGATTTAAGGCCGATATGTATTTTGCCTACCCTATCTAAAGTTCTTGAAAAAGTTTTAGAAATTCAGCTTCGCGGTCATCTTGATCAAAATAATATTCTACCTACCTGTCAATCCGGATTTAGACCAAATCATAGCTGTGCCTCCGCTCTGATAAAAATTGCCGATGATATTATTGGTGCACTCGACTCAGGACAAGCTACGGCCCTTATTTTGTTAGACTTTAGCAGAGCTTTTGATACTTTAGACCCGGATATCCTCTACAGCATTCTGAACTTTATAGGGCTTGATGAGATGTCTGCGTCGCTGATTTTTAATTACTTAACAGATAGAGAACAAAGAGTGGTCATCAATGAATATATGTCTGAACCTATTAAGGTCCCTAGGGGGGTACCGCAAGGGTCAATTTTAGGCCCCTTAATCTATATTATTTATACATGTTACTTTTCTGTGGTGTTGGAGTTCAGCACAGGACATTTTTATGCCGATGACTCACAAGTATACTTAAAATTTAATGTTGAAAATATAACTGAGGCAAATGAATGAAAAACTTAACCAAGACGTAACTAAACTTGTATCCTTAGCCAAAGACCATAACTTATCAATTAATGCTAAAAAGTCATCCCTTATATTATTTTCTAAAAAAAAATCTTACGAATTTATTAAGTCTAATTTAAATATAATGGTTGAGGGCGTACAGGTCAAGGTCGTTAATGAAGCTAAAAATCTAGGGGTTATATTTGATAAGGATTTGCGATTTAAAAGCCATATCAATAACTTAATAAAAAAAGCTTATTCAAGTCTTAAAGTCTTGTTTAATAGTAGGCATTTATTACCTAGAAAAATAAAAGCCCTATTATGTGAAAGTCTTGTCTTGTCTAGATTTAACTACTGTGATAGTTTATATCACCACTGCATTGATAGTATTGAATCAGGCAGAATTCAAAAGATTCAAAATTCATGCATACGTCTAATATATGGGATACGCAAGTTTGATCATATATCTCACAAGTATTCGGAAATTGGTTGGCTTAACATGTCCCAAAGGCGAAAATATCACTGTATGAAGTTTTTTTATAAAATTATATGTTTAAAGTCTCCACGGTACCTCTATAATAAAATAAGGTTTCGCACCGATGTGCATAATATAAATATTAGGCATAGAAAGATTTTAACTATTCCCAAGTTTAAAACTGAATTTTATAAGCGATCGTTTTCATATAACATAGCCATGTATTACAATAAATTGCCTGACGAATTTAAGATAATGTCCATTAATCAGTTTTCAAATAAATTTAAGACATATCTCTATAACAAAGAGTTTTAAAAGTGACAGGTTTTCTTTCTTTCTTTTTTTTTACTCATAAATGTGTTTCCATCTAATATAGCGCAGTATTTATTACAATATTAATTATCTATCTATAAATGTTATTATCTTAATAAGCCTCCTCTTTTCTTTTTGGGTGTACGGAAGAACAGGTGCTGCTTTCATTTAAAAAATTTATTAAAGCTTTATCACTAATGAAACCAGCAAGCTGAGTACAGCCTTTTTGCCCAGACAATAAGTATTTTTTTGTGTGTGTAACCTCTTAATGTACAAATTTTGGGTAAATAAATGTGTTTATTATTATTATTATTATTATTATTAAAATAATGTATTTTTAAATATTACACTGATAAAAATAGGCTGTTGAAACAACAAAAAATAATAATAAAAATATTAATTCAACTCTTTAGGCACTTTAAATACAAGCAATGGTTTTGGCACGTTTACCTAACCATCTAAAAATGTCAAATTGTATTGTTTAATTGAAAAACAAATATTAGTCAAATAAACAAAATGAGAATATTTGTTCTAATCTGCTGAACTGGTTAATTAAACGTATACTCCTATAGGAGTAACATTTTTAGCATATTCACTTAACACCAATAAAATGTTAAATTAAAATAATTTGCGCTAATGTTGGGTTAATTGGGTTGGGTTAACATTCTGAAAATGTAAAAGTTCTTAAAAGGTTGGTATTCAAAACAAAATTATGGAATTAATATAAAGAGAAAGAATTGAACCTTCCCTCACCAGAGTTTTTGTTTTGAGTGCGTTCCACCTACTTCAAATACCTACCGACAAACAGCTGATTCGACCTATTTTGAGGGTCAGTGTCGGGTAATTTGGTGTAGTGGAAGTTCCACTGTGGAACACACCCAAAACAAACGGCTACCTGAGCCTGACCTATACTCCTATCGTAAGCCAATTGAGGCGAGATATAAGAACATCACGTGATCAACACTGTCTAATGACGTGGCATGGGTGTTCGAAACGCCCTTCACGGCAATTTTATGAATGCAAAATAAACAAATTTTAAAGTAACATTTACAATTTGTTAAATGAACAAATTTAATGTTTTGGATTTAAACGTTAATTTAATAATTTTTTTAGGTAAACTTAAAAATTTCAGTATTTGATTTAACCAATTCCAGCTATTAAATCAAAATAGGATAAACATTTTAATTCAAAAAATTAGTTTATGTTAAATCAATATTTTAACTGTCAAATGAACAAATAAACTTTGACAAACTGTGACTATTGCTTTGGCACCAAAATATAGATTAATCCAGTAGGTTTTTTGATGAAACAACATTTTCAAAAATGACATTTAGGCAAACGTTAACTCAACTACATTATTTTTTTCGGTGTAGTTTTTTTATTGCTAAATTCACGCTTCTTTTAACTGAAAAGTGAATTTTCTACCATAATAGGCTATAGTAGTAGGCTATGAAAATTTGATTTGGTGTTATTTTTATTTAAAGTACTTATAAATATCGATTAAAATATAAAATACGAAATTATAAAAAAGTACCCAAATTGCAGGAAATTCGATTTTAATTGTGAAAATTTACCATTTTTGTCGAAAAAAAAAATGCATTTTTTTGTCCAGAGGGACTAAACAAAAATTATTTAAAGTTTAACAGAATGTTCTCCTCAAAATATACTAAAAACTCTAAAAAAACGGTGTATTTGCCTTGCTAAGAAAATACAACGGTTTAAAATGCGACAAATTTTATAAAATATGGCACTAAATTTATGTATGATTTTTGTTTAAGAATAATTTGATTTGACAATTCGTGAATAAGAATTGTCAAAAACAGATGAAATATGATATTTTATTACAAAATATCGAAGAACTTAGTACAGATGTTCAAACTCTTTGAAAACTAAGAGTAAATGATAATATTAAACAGTGTGTAACTATCATTTAAAAAAATATGTGTATAAATATTTTCATAATTTTTGCAGCTTCTTGTGATCCGTTTAAAATTCACAAAACACCGATAAAAAAATCCTCCTCACGAGAAATAACCATTAAAACTTGTGAAACATCAACAATTGATTTGACTATGGGCAAGGCGTTATGCATAAACTTATAAAAATGTTAGTAAAAAAGAAAAATTAAAGTAAAAAATGAATTAGAAATTAATACCTACGAACCGACTTTAGATGGCAATATTCAATCCTTAGAACAAATTGTAACACCCATTTGTGATATATTAAAAATTCCCTTAACTAATTTTAAAGGGTTACCAATACAAAAAATAAAAAATGAAGCCGAAAATTAGTTAATCAATAAGTAATGAATTATTAAAAAACTGAAAAAGCGATATAAAACACAGAAGAGAAAATTCAAATATTTAGTTAACTTCCATAGACCTTAAGTAAAATAAAAATTTAATTTAATCCTATAGAAAATTATCAAAAGAATTAATTTAAGAAAAGGAGTATACTCCTATTTATTTTGTAATTGTAGTATACTACAATTACAAAATAAACATAGACTTGAAGAAAAGAGCAGATATTTATAATAATGATGAATTTAGCCGCATTTGTCCAGGAATAAAGGATTGTGTTTCGGTAAGAACATCAGAGAACAAAAAAAGTACAAAAAAGACTTTTGTTGTGTAACCCACAAAAACTGCATGCTAAGTTTATACAAACCGAACCCGATTCAAAAATAAGTTTTTCCAAATTTGCGCAGCTTAGACGGGTTTCTTGTGTTCTTATTGTCTCCAAAGCAACTCATACGGTTTGTGTTTGCACCAGTCATCAAAATTTCAATTTATTTATTGGATGCAGCAAAAATTAAAAGTGGACGTAGACGCAAAAATTAAAAGTGTGGGCGTATATCTTTGACTGTTTGTGACATTAAAAA